ATACAAACAAATCAACTTGCTGCACACTCTACTTTTATCTGCATATGTGAACAGAATCTAAGGGGATTCCCCTACTAGGGCGAGATGACGAGACACACACACTATGTTAAGTTGATCATAAAAAAATGCCCACTGGAGTTGCGGACCAGGAAGTAATCATATCGTTTGTCTTCTCCCGTTTTGCTCTGATACCGCAGTCGACGTAATTAGCGTCGGGTGTGAAAAACGTTCACAAACCGATCTTAGCGCTACCACTGTCGAATGTCTGCGTCAATGTATGAGGATTACAACAATATATGCAGTAGACGGGGGTCGTGGGGACAGAAGCCGCGCAGTGCTCATTCCATATCGTTAACGAAATATTCTTTGTATTTTATGCGTAGAACACAGTGCGCCATAGCCGATCACTTCGTCAAATATTGATAATTGAAAGAAAAAACAAATCTAGTTATCCTTATTCATTCGAGTATGGTCCTGTTTCGCGTACACAAGATCGAACGAGATTCCAAGCGTGGAAGGCTAACTTAGAGTCAAGCAGTGGAGGGTGGTTGTTGTTTGGATGGGTTATGGGGAGGATGTAGATGGCTTCTATCATGGGACGTAACTGAGTCGTCAGGAATGACATTAATTTCGCTGTTTGTCTGGTTTTCTGTCGAACATGTCAAGGACTAGTCTAGGATCCACAACACGGTTGTTCCAGTCGTATTCAGTATACTTCAATGTTTGAAGTTGCCTACAGGGTCGCGCTTTAGAAAGAAAACTAGTGCTTTCAAATACTATTTTTCTCTGCGGTGATGTGATCATTAAATACATATTATCCTTGACACATTATTAAAGTGTTGGTTGCACACCATCGGTTATCCTTGACACACTATGAAAGTCTAGGTTGCAATGTGGGTTATCCTTGAAACACTTTGAAAGTCTAGGTTGCACCGTGGGTTATCTTTGACACAATATGAAAGTCTAGGTTGCACCGTGGGTTATCTTTGACACATTATGAACGTCTAGGTTGCACCGTGGGTTATACTTGACACATTATGAACGTCTAGGTTGCACCGTGGGTTATCCTTGACACATTATGAACGTCTAGGTTGCACCATGGGTTATCCTTGACACATTATGAACGTCTAGGTTGCACCGTGGGTTATCCTTGACACATTATGAACGTCTAGGTTGCACCGTGGGTTATCTTTGACACATTATGAACGTCTAGGTTGCACCGTGGGTTATACTTGACACATTATGAACGTCTAGGTTGCACCGTGGGTTATACTTGACACATTATGAACGTCTAGGCTGCACCGTGGGTTATCCTTGACACATTATGAACGTCTAGGTTGCACCGTGGGTTATCCTTGACACATTATGAACGTCTAGGTTGCACCGTGGGTTATCCTTGACACATTATGAACGTCTAGGTTGCACCGTAAGTTATCCTTGACACATTATGAACGTCTAGGTTGCACCGTGGGTTATCCTTAACACATTATGAAAGTCTAGGTTGCACCGTGGGTTATCTTTGACACATAATAAACGTCTAGGTTGCAGCGTGGGTTATCCTTGACACACCATGAGAGTCTATGTTGCACCGTGGGTTATCCTTGACACATTATGAACGTCTAGGTTGCACCGTGGGTTATACTTGACACAATATGAACGTCTAGGCTGCACCGTAGGTTATCTTTGACACACTATGAACGTCTAGGTTGCACCGTGGGTTATACTTGACACATTATGAACGTCTAGGCTGCACCGTAGGTTATCTTTGACACATTATGAACGTCTTGGTTGCGCTGTGGGTTATACTTGACACATTATGAACGTTTAGGCTGCACCGTGGGTTATCTTTGACACATTATGAACGTCTAGGTTGCGCTGTGGGTTATCTTTGACACATTATGAACGTCTAGGTTGCACCGTGGGTTATCTTTGACACATTATGAACGTCTAGGTTGCAGCGTGGGTTATCCTTAACACATTATGAAAGTCTATGTTGCACCGTGGGTTATCCTTGACACATTATGAACGTCTAGGTTGCACCGTGGGTTATACTTGACACAATATGAACGTCTAGGCTGCACCGTAGGTTATCTTTGACACACTATGAACGTCTAGGTTGCACCGTGGGTTATACTTGACACATTATGAACGTCTAGGCTGCACCGTAGGTTATCTTTGACACATTATGAACGTCTTGGTTGCGCTGTGGGTTATACTTGACACATTATGAACGTTTAGGCTGCACCGTGGGTTATCTTTGACACATTATGAACGTCTAGGTTGCGCTGTGGGTTATCTTTGACACATTATGAACGTCTAGGTTGCACCGTGGGTTATCTTTGACACATTATGAACGTCTAGGTTGCAGCGTGGGTTATCCTTGACACACCATGAGAGTCTATGTCGCACCGTGGGTTATCCTTGACACATTATGAACGTCTAGGTTGCACCGTGGGTTATACTTGACACATTATGAACGTCTAGGTTGCACCGTGGGTTATCCTTGACACATTATGAACGTCTAGGTTGCAGCGTGGGTTATCTTTGACACAATATGAACGTCTAGGTTGCGCTTTGGGTTATCTTTGACACAATATGAACGTCTAGGTTGCGCTGTGGGTTATCTTTGACACAATATGAACGTCTAGGTTGCGCTGTGGGTTATCTTTGACACATTATGAACGTCTAGGCTGCACCGTGGGTTATCTTTGACACACTTTGAACGTCTAGGCTGCACCTTAAGTTATCCTTGACATACTATGACATACTATTGGTTGCTGAAGACCTATTCTACCCCGGATCTTCACGGGACTGATACCAGTGATCTATCTCTGAACAAATGTTGCACAAGAATACAGTTGCTGTCAGTTGATCTGTCCATGATGACTGCCATACCCGATCTATGTGCTTTTGGGCCTATGTGAGGTTCACACTATAAAACATGATAATTATCGCATAAAAAGTTTCTTTTAGCCGTGAGCTATTATGTTATTTGTAACCTCAATCAGTTCTCAAGAGACACGGAAGACAGACACACATTTGTTAAATCAGCATACTGTGGCAGTTTAAGTCCAGAGAGACGTCCTGGGGCAGGTTATGAATTTTTTAATGTTCCTAGCAGATAATTCCCATATGCCGTATAACACGGCCGGGATCCAACCATCGACCTCAGGCTCTGTACTGTGGGACGGATGCCCTCCAGACGCAGATTGAAGCCGTTGACCATCTTGGTAAATGTATAACGATCCATGCAATGACAATGATTAATGTTATGAATACTGTTTTGCCTTAAAATACTTACTACAGTTGTTTATGAAAATAAATGCGACGAACCCCTAAGTTTCCATATTCATAAGAAATCTCTGTAAAAAAAAGAGTCGATTGTTCAATTCCGACTATATCCCGAGCATGTGTTTATGAACCACAGAGCCACGGCCACGCAATGACAATGATTAATGTTATGAATACTGTTTTGACTTTAAATAATAGCAATCATCATAGTCAACGGTCACTGCACAATAGACCGTGGCCGGAGAGTGGAAAGTCGGTGCTTCCATCCCCGGCCGCGTTATACCACTAAAGAAAATACAAAAGATGTGCTTGTTGTTACCCTGCCTGGAGCTTGGCATTCAGGGGATAAAACAAGAACTGGACGACTTAAGCTGCGGCATGATATCTTAGTGGTAAAGAACTATAAAACAACAACATATCTGTGATGTTCATAAGCGAGGACTCGCTCTAAACGTTATTCGTGAACACTCCAATGTTCGTATCTACTGAAGGAAGCGACCTGTGAAGATCCGGGGTCTTCAGCAACCCATGCTTGCCGTAAAAGGTGACTATGCTTGTCGTAAAAGGCGACTAACGGGATCGGGTGGTCAGGCTCGCTGACTTGGTTGATGTATGTTATCGTATCCCAATTGCGTGGATCGATGCTCATGATGTCAATCACTGGACTGTCTGGTCCAGACTCGATTATTTACAGACCGACGTCATGTAGCTGGAATATTGCTGAATGCGGCGTTAAACAACAAACAAACCAACCGACTGAAGGAAGTATATATATCTCTCCAGCAACGACGAAAGAACATAATCATAGTAAGCTTTGACTGATAAATAAAATTGAAGAAAAATCCCAGTGAGATCCAGTAACATGGAGATAGTCGTAACAAGGAAGTGTCGGATCCGTCATCCGCGGAGACCTCAACCCTCATTATCCCCAACCCCTGACCCACTTCCCCGTCTGACGTAAACAAACATGCAATGAAACACCCGGGTTGTGCAGCGATATTGGCTCTATTTCATGTGCTTGATGACTGTTGACAATGCATCGTTGTTTGGGGTCACTTTGACCTACACGACTGTTATATACAAAGCCTCAAGTAGGCTTAATCTTGGGATTGCCGAGGTCACAGTGACACTCATTCGCAACTAGAAGGCGAACAACAGGTACAGGTACATAACAGCATTGGGCAGTGGTGTTAATAGGGGTTTAACGTCGCATACAAGATAATTGTACTTGTATAGCGACGTGCATGCAGGCGTATGTGGCTGCTTGTACTAGTCCGGTCTAATGCCGGTTTAATAGTTCTTGACCACTGAGATACCATGCCGTAGTTTAAGTCAACCAATCCTTGTTTTAGCCCCCTTAATGCAAGCTTTCGGCAGGGTAACAACAGGATCCATTTTGAAGTTTTTTGGCATACCGCGCCCGGGGATCGAAGCACCGACTTTCCTCTCTCGGGCCAGACCACGGGGGCGGTCTATTGAACAGTGGCCATGTGTGTATGTATGTGTGTGCATGTTTGTGTACATGTGTGTGTGCATTTGTGTGTGTGCCATTGCGTGCGTGCGTGACTATATGCCGGTTACATAGTGCTAGCCGCCCACTAAAGTGACATGCCACTGGAATATGCCAACACATAAACTGGCAGTTTGAAAGGTTGATATGACTAGCAAACAAGAGAATCGACGGCAAAACCAACAAAACATAATGATTATTATTAATGATTTTATTTATCGACGCGTACAAAAACACTTAACATCGCCTGAAAGTCTTTCATAATTCCATAGACAATATATATGCATCAGGCCATGCAGCATGGCCCCCGTCTAGCTACATTGGGGCAAGAATAGCATGTAACAATTGTATAATGAACATGACATATGAAAAGAAATATCTCTTACAAAATTCTAGAAAATTCCAATGCCTCTGACAGGGATATGGGCCTCGGTGCATCCTAACATCAAGTAGACTTGGGCCCCGTGAAGATCCGGGTTAGGATATAGGTCTTCAGCAACCTATGCTTGTCGTAAGTGGCGACTAACTGGATCGAGTAGTCCGGCCTGCTGATGCATACCATCCTATCCCAATCACTGGATTTTCTGGTTCAGACTCGATTATTTACAGACCGCCGTCATATTGCTGGATTATTGTTGACTGCGGCGTTAAACAAACAAACAAATAATGTAGACTTGGACAAACGAATTGACGTAACACTGCTGCGTTACGACTTTCAGTTTTATCCCGTGGGTCTACTGAATGATGGTACAGCGAACATGGCTGTGGTTTGACAGATCAACGTTTACGTGCGGAATTCGAGCACTCGATTAATTTAATGGATCATGTGGGGTGAGGGTACGTATCTCCACACAGCGACATGCGGCACCTTACACCACCAGTGCCTTGGACGAGTTTACCACATCCACGTGGAAAGTGTAATGAGTCCTCCGGTTAAATACTTTAGTCAATGTCTTTTATATTGCAACACAGTAAAATCTCTCATTGGTTATACACATAATCTGACAAGGAGTACATACCTTTAAAACAGAATATACAGAATACTGAGTACAAAGATGAAATTATTATGGCAAGAAATGGGAACAACATTACTATTCAAAGCCCGACAGGGTATAATTAATAGCCGCTTAACGCCAAGCAGTGTCCCTACATGTATGTATAACAATTAAAACAGTTATTGAAGCCTAAAGTCAATAACATTGAAGCTTCATCCCAATGACCTGTAAGTATTGAAGCTCTAGGCCAATAATATTGAATCTTCATCACAATGACCTGTAAGAACTGAAGCTTTAGGCCAATAATATTGAATCTTCATCACGATTACCTGTAAGTACTGAAGCCTTAGGCCAATAATATTGAATCCTCATAACGATGACCTGTAAGTATTGAAGCCTGGATCATACAAAGGCGTCGGTTCGATGGCAGCCAAGAAACCAGTCAGAAGTCACAGGTCAATATCTTAATCGTCTCTTGCGAGGAACATGGATATTTGGGCTTATTCTGCTCTGGAATCTTCGCTGATTCACGGAATGGACTTAAGAATGTATATTTTACGTATAGTATGTATTAGACCAAACACAAATGGCACATAGTTCTTAGAAACATGATGTAGTTTATTGGTTGAGTGCAACTGAACCATTACCTACATCAATAGGAATCACTATAACCGGCATTGATGTATTGATGAAACTCAAGTTTGTATCACAAGACAGGCACTACTTTTAAGCCATTATTTCAACTTGGCTCACAGATCGAGATCGAGAATTTTGAGATTTCTCCTCCTGAACCTCATGCACGATCTTTTCGAACAAGTCGCAGTTGTCAGCATCTATATACTTCTTGAGTCTTAGAAAAGCGTTCAGATAGCCATTGGTGGCAGTGGTGACGTTGTCGAGCCTGGCGACAATCACACGGCCGCGACGCTGTTTGACCATGATATTGTAGGTCTCCGTGAACTCGAACATCTTGGAGGGATTGTCCACATAGCTACTAGACAGCACAATGACAGCTGCGCGGCTTCTCTGGAGCGTCTTGATAACTTCATCAGTGATCACTGTCCCCGGGTCCATGTCCCGGGGCGGGAAGTACAGTCTGAGGTTGTGATTCTGCTCCAGTTCATTAAGCAGTTTCTTGGACCAGACTCGGTCAGACTCACTCTCTCCATCCACCGACACAAACAAATCGTACTCCGAGTCCTCATCGCTAGTTCGCTTCAGCTTTTTTGCACCCGTATGAAGAAGGTGCATCAATTCATACCGAAACACCACAACAAGGACCACCAAAAGCACAAATATGACTGCAAATGTTCCCAACAGGGCGCTGAATATCTTAGGAAAAGGACTGCGAATCTGACAGTTAAGTAACCTTTGGTCCGCTCGTACAAGCTGTACCGTATTGCCCGCTGGCATCAAGCAAGTGATGTCGGTGACGTTGTAGTTCCGAGGTTGGTATCTGAGCCACAGTGACATCCAAGTGGAGGAACAGCTGCACACAAATGGGTTTCTGTTGATGTCTAGTTTAGAATAATGGATGTTCTGGATTTTTTTCGGTAAAAACTCAAGACGATTGTCCGATAGGCCCAGAAATGCAACCCCATTTTGCAAAAGGTCAATTGCTGAAGGTGCAATAATTTTAATATTATTTCTAGATACGTCAAGATATTTTGTTCTTTGCAAATAACCTACTGCTTCCAAGAAGGTAATGGAATTATCGCCAAAAAGCAGTTTTAAATTACCGTCGGGAACCATGGACGGTAAACGTGTCAAGTTTCTACCACGGCAGTCAACCAACATCTGTTTTTTTGCTGGCTGATCCTGACATAAACATTCTTGAGGACATTTGTCCGTGACATTACACACAAACGCATCCAGTGGCAGACGTAGCACTTGCTTTCCTTTCAGATGAGCTGGACTGTCGCAGAGAACATTTAAGTAGTTCCTCCATATTACCATATATAAATTTGATGACAGGTGGAGAAATTCATGAAAATTGCAATCACAGATCCACTTATTATGTCTGAAGTCAAACCCCCAATTATCAAATGTCCCACTAATTTTCCGTTTACGAATTCCATAGATCTCCAATTCCTCTAAAACCAATGTCGTAAACAAATTGTGAGAAAAGCCTACCATACCGGGTCCATAGTGTTTGGATTCATCCACTAACCAGTTTTCTTCGTTTGAAAAATGGGATATGTTATTGTGACTTAGGCCGAAAACACAGAATTGATGGGTAATCCTTATCGGCCAGGCCTCAGACGCTGTCAGCTCGTTGTAGTCAAGATGAACCCTCATCAATCCATGTAAGTCTTCACTGAACACTCCTGGCTCAATAGTATGTATTTTGTTATAAGCAAGGTCGATGTATCTCAACCTTTCCAAACCAACGAACACACCCGTCTCAACAGATTTAACTTCCTGGTTGACAAGTACCAGAGCTATCAAATTCTTCAGACAGCTAAGGCTGGGAATTGTTTCGATTTTACCGGTCACCGCAAGTATACTTGCAATGTTGGGATAATCACATATATCCTCAGGGAGACGTGTGATGCACAGGTTTGAGAAGAAGAGTCGGAATGGGGATGTTTTGTTGGTGCCGGGTGGTAGGAGAAGGGTGACGTTGTCAGGCTGACTGCAGTCGTAATTCAAGATGAGGTTCGGCAATCTGTCCTCTCTCATGTTAGTGCAACATATGTCATCTACAGAACACTGAAGGACGTCCTCCACGGTGACACTGGTTCCGACAGACACACTGATCAAGACAATCGCGATGAGGAAAACCAAACGTAGTGACAGAGAAAACAGCATTATTTGTGTCTTCCAAAATTGTCTGTTAAGAGATGGACACTCGTTTGTGTGTCTTTCAAATCTATCTGCTGAAAGACGAACACGAGTTTCTTTCAAACCTGTGTCGTCTGCTCGAAGATACTGACATTGATCAAGGCCAACTCGACTCCAATAATACTGCCGTCTGCTAAAAGTGGCGCTGAATTAACATTCGACTCACCTCGCAAAACAAACACTCTGAATCGCCCACTTCCTGATTTTTATATTTTAACTCCACGAGTCTTTGTCAGAGCATTTCAGTGCGTATGCTCAGCGTCCATTGGCTGAGAGTAGTAATGTAGAAGTTCAAAGGTCAAAAGTCGCACCTCACTGCGCGCATAAACAGACGACAATATTTCCACCCGCAGTGAGGCAGTCTACGGTTGGCGTTCAGAAACGTGATCACAGAGTGATCATGTCATTGTGTCACGTGTATTCTTACAACAAACCATTCAATTATAGACTATATGTATAACACCGTCCTGTTTATTGCATTCAGCAACAGTTCTACATACCTGTCAACTCTCACGCATCTCGCGTGAGTCTCACGCATTTATCACCTATGTCACGCCCACACGCAAGGTTGGGAAATTACGGCAAGCATGGGTTGCTGAAGATCTATTCTAACCCGGATCTTCACGGGTCCGTTATATGCTGTGAGATCAATACACAGGAACTCGTTATTGGTCAGTAAATAAAGATATAAACCATATCTACTTACAAATAGGGGGTATACATTATATTTATTGACCAATAACAAATTCCTGTGCATCAATATGACTTGACTCGTGCAGTCATGTGGATGTAAACTGTACGAGGCGCTGTTTAATATTTATTCCTGATTTGTTGATATCAATAATTCATTAATTGATAACACAAAATAGATTTTCGGATATCGATAAAATCTATGTATGTTTGGATACCAATAAATGAAATTGTGATATCTAAAAACTTAACTTGTGACATCAATAATTCACTTCCTGGTTCATGAAAAGAACGAATTCTGCCTTGAGGTCACACCACAGTAAGCTACCAGTCAATGACATCACAAATTCGATTACATATGATATCATAAAGTGAATTCTGGATATTTAACTAAATCGAACTTGTGATATCAATTAACCATTTTGTCATGTCACTAAATGAATTATTCAATTGATAAAATAAGTAATAAATAGTAAAACTACGCGTCATAAAACACTATGCAGCAGCTTTTAGCGCTAAATTTGGTAGTGGGTCGTTTACATATGTTAACATTTACAATGTTAAAAATTTCAAGATAAGTACTACGAAGTTTGTAAAGGTTTTTTATGGCAATTGAAGTGTAAAGGGTTCACTACCATGTAGAGCTGGCTACTTAATATATACTTTTTAATGCTGCAACGTGATTTAACCGATCACTTCGTCAAATATTGATAATTGAAAAAACAAATCTAGTTATCCTTATTCATTCGAGTATGGTCCTGTTTCGCGTACACAAGATCGAACGAGATTCCAAGCGTGGAAGGCTAACTTAGAGTCAAGCAGTGGAGGGTGGTTGTTGTTTGGATGGGTTATGGGGAGGATGTAGATGGCTTCTATCATGGGACGTAACTGAGTCGTCAAGAATGACATTAATGTCGTTGTTTGTCTGGTTTTCTGTCGAACATGTCAAGGACTAGTCTAGGATCCACAACACGGTTGTTCCAGTCGTATTCAGTATACTTCAATGTTTGAAGTTGCCTACAGGGTCGCGCTTTAGAAAGAAAACTAGTGCTTTCAAATACTTTTTCTCTCTGCGGTGATGTGATCATTAAATACATATTATCCTTGACACACTATTAAAGTGTTTGTTGCACACCATCGGTTATCATTGACACAATATGAACGTCTAGGTTGCATCGTGGGTTATCCTTGACACATTATGAAAGTCTAGGTTGCACCGTGGGTTATCTTTGACACATAATAAACGTCTAGGTTGCAGCGTGGGTTATCCTTGACACATTATGAACGTCTAGGTTGCACCGTGGGTTATCCTTGACACATAATAAACGTCTAGGTTGCAGCGTGGGTTATCTTTGACACATTATGAACGTCTAGGTTGCACCGTTGGTTATCCTTGACACATAATAATCGTCAAGGTTGCACCGTGGGTTATCTTTGACACATTATGAAAGTCTAGGTTGCACCGTGGGTTATCTTTGACACACTATGAACGTCTAGGTTGCACCGTGGGTTATCTTTGACACACTATGAACGTCTAGGTTGCAGCGTGGGTTATCCTTGACACATTATGAACGTCTAGGTTGCACCGTGGGTTATCCTTGACACATAATAAACGTCTAGGTTGCAGCGTGGGTTATCCTTGACACATTATGAACGTCTAGGTTGCGCCGTGGGTTATCCTAGACACACCATGAGAGTCTATGTTGCACCGTGGGTTATCCTTGACACATAATAAACGTCTAGGTTGCAGCGTGGGTTATCCTTGACACACCATGCGAGTCTATGTTGCACCGTGGGTTATACTTGACACATTATGAACGTCTAGGCTGCACCGTGGGTTATCTTTGACACATTATGAACGTCTAGGCTGCACCGTGGGTTATCTTTGACACAATATGAACGTCTAGGTTGCGCTGTGGGTTATACTTGACACACTTTGAACGTCTAGGCTGCACCTTAAGTTATCCTTGACATACTATGACATACTATGGGTTGCTGAAGACCTATTCTACCCCGTAACTTCACGGGACTGATACCAGTGATCTATCTCTGAACAAATGTTGCACAAGAATACAGTTGCTGTCAGTTGATCTGTCCATGATAATTATCGCATAAAAAGTTTCTTTTAGCCGTGAGCAATTCTGTTATTTGTAACCTCAATCAGTTCTCAAGAGACACGGAAGACAGACACACATTTGTTAAATCAGCATACTGTGGCAGTTTAAGTCCAGAGAGACGTCCTGAGGCAGGTTATGAATTTTTTAATGTTCCTAGCAGATAATTCCCATATGCCGTATAACACGGCCGGGATCCAACCGTCGACCTCAGGCTCTGTACTGTGGGACGGATGCCCTCCAGACGCAGATTGAAGCCGTTGACCATCTTGGTAAATGTATAACGATCCACGCAATGACAATGATTAATGTTATGAATACTGTTTTGCCTTAAAATACTTACTACAGTTGTTTATGAAAATAAATGCGACTAACCCCTAAGTTTCCATATTCATAAGAAATCTCTGTCAAAAAAAGAGTCGATTGTTCAATTCCGACTATATCCCGAGCATGTGTTTATGAATCACAGAGCCACGGCCACGCAATGACAATGATTAATGTTATGAATACTGTTTTGACTTTAAATAATAGCAATCATCATAGTCAACGGTCACTGCACAATAGACCGTGGCCGGAGAGTGGAAAGTCGGTGCTTCCATCCCCGGCCGCGTTATACCACTAAAGAAAATACAAAAGATGTGCTTGTTGTTACCCTGCCTGGAGCTTGGCATTCAGGGGATAAAACAAGAACTGGACGACTTAAGCTGCAGCATGATATCTTAGTGGTAAAGAACTATAAAACAACAACATATCTGTGATGTTCATAAGCGAGGACTCGCTCTAAACGTTATTCGTGAACACTCCAATGTTCGTATCTACTGAAGGAAGCGACCTGTGAAGATCCGGGGTCTTCAGCAACCCATGCTTGCCGTAAAAGGTGACTATGCTTGTCGTAAAAGGCGACTAACGGGATCGGGTGGTCAGACTCGCTGACTTGGTTGATGTATGTTATCGTATCCCAATTGCGTGGATCGATGCTCATGATGTCAATCACTGGACTGTCTGGTCCAGACTCGATTATTTACAGACCGCCGTCATATTGCTGGAATATTGTTGACTGCGGCGTTAAACAAACAAACAAATAATGTAGACTTGGACAAACGAATTGACGTAACACTGCTGCGTTACGACTTTCAGTTTTATCCCGTGGGTCTACTGAATATTGGTACAGCGAACAGGGCTGTGGTTTGACAGATCAACGTTTACGTGCGGAATTCGAGCACTCGATTAATTTAATGGATCATGTAGGGTGAGGGTACGTATCTCCACACAGCGACATGCGGCACCTTACACCACCAGTGTCTTGGACGAGTTTACCACATCCACGTGGAAAGTGTAATGAGTCCTCCGGTTAAATACTTTAGTCAATGTCTTTTATATTGCAACACAGTAAAATCTCTCATTGGTTATACACATAATCTGACAAGGAGTACATACCTTTAAAACAGAATATACAGAATATTGAGTACAAAGATGAAATTATTATGGCAAGAAATGAGAACAACATTACTATTCAAAGCCCGACAGGATATAATTAATAGCCGCTTAACGCCAAGCAGTGTCCCTACATGTATGTATAACAATTAAAACAGTTATTGAAGCCTATAGTCAATAATATTGAAGCTTCATCCCAATGACCTGTAAGTATTGAAGCTTTAGGCCACTAATATTGAATCCTCATAACGATGACCTGTAAGTACTGAAGCTTTAGGACACTAATATTGAATTTTCATCCCAATGACCTGTAAGAACTGAAGCTTTAGACCAATAATATTGAATCTTCATCACGATGACCTGTAAGTACTGAAGCTTTCGGCCACTAATATTGAATCTTCATCCCAGTGACCTGTAAGTATTGAAGCTTTAGGCAAATAATATTGAATCTTCATCACGATGACCTGTAAGTACTGAAGCTTTAGGCCAGTAATATTGAATCTTCATCACGATGACCTGTAAGTATTAAAGCTTTAGGCCAATAATATTGAATCTTCATCACGATGACCTGTAAGTACTGAAGCTTTAGGCCACTAATATTGAATCTTCATCCCAGTGACCTGTAAGTATTGAAGCTTTAGGCAAATAATATTGAATCTTCATCACGATGACCTGTAAGTACAGAAGCTTTAGGCCAGTTATATTGAATCTTCATCACGATGACCTGTAAGTATTAAAGCTTTAGGCCAATAATATTGAATCTTCATCACGATGACCTTTAAGTACTGAAGCTTTAGGCAAATAATATTGAATCTTCATCCTAATGACCTTTACGTATTGAAGCCTGGATCAGACAAAGGCGTCGGTTCGATGGCAGCCAAGAAACCAGTCAGAAGTCACAGGTCAATATCTTAATCGTCTCTTGTGAGGAACATGGATATTTGGGCTTATTCTGCTCTGGAATCTTCGCTGATTCACGGAATGGACTTAAGAATGTATATTTTACGTATAGTATGTATTAGACCAAACACAAATGGCACATAGTTCTTAAAAACATGATGTAGTTTATTGGTTGAGTGCAACTGAACCATTACCTACATCAGTAGGAATCACTATAACCGGCATTGATGTATTGATGAAACTCAAGTTTGTATCACAAGACAGGCACTACTTTTAAGCCATTATTTCAACTTGGCTCACAGATCGAGATCGAGAATTTTGAGATTTCTCCTCCTGAACTTCATGCGCGATCTTTTCGAACAAGTCGCAGTTGTCAGCATCTATATACTTCTTAAGTCTGAGAAAAGCGTTCAGGTAGCCATTGGTGGCAGTGGTGACGTTGTCGAGCCTGGCGACAATCACACGGCCGCGACGCTGTTTGACCATGATATTGTAGGTCTCCGTGAACTCGAACATCTTGGAGGGATTGTCCACATAGCTACTAGACAGCACAATGACAGCTGCGCGGCTTCTCTGGAGCGTCTTGATAACTTCATCAGTGATCACTGTCCCCGGGTCCATGTCCCGGAGCGGGAAGTACAGTCTGAGGTTGTGATTCTGCTCCAGTTCATTAAGCAGTTTCTTGGACCAGACTCGGTCAGACTCACTCTCTCCATCCACCGACACAAACAAATCGTACTCCGAGTCCTCATCGCTAGTTCGCTTCAGCTTTTTTGCACCCGTATGAAGAAGGTGCATCAATTCATACCGAAACACCACAACAAGGGCCACTAAAAGCACAAATATGACTGCAAATGTTCCCAACAGGGCGCTGAATATCTTAGGAAAAGGACTGCGAATCTGACAGTTAAGTAACCTTTGGTCCGCTCGTACAAGCTGTACCGTATTGCCCGCTGGCATCAAGCAAGTGATGTCGGTGACGTTGTAGTTCCAAGGTTGGTATCTGAGCCACAGTGACATCCACGTGGAGGAACAGCTGCACACAAATGGGTTTCTGTTGATGTCTAGTTTAGAATAATGGATGTTCTGAACTCAAGACGATTGTCCGATAGGCCCAGAAATGCAACCCCATTTTGCAAAAGGTCAATTGCTGAAGGTGCAATAATTTTAATATTATTTCTAGATACGTCAAGATATTTTGTTCTTTGCAAATAACCTACTGCTTCCAAGAAGGTAATGGAATTATCGCCAAAAAGCAGTTTTAAATTACCGTCGGGAACCATGGACGGTAAACGTGTCAAGTTTCTACCACGGCAGTCAACCAACATCTGTTTTTTTGCTGGCTGATCCTGACATAAACATTCTTGAGGACATTTGTCCGTGACATTACACACAAACGCATCCAGTGGCAGACGTAGCACTTGCTTTCCTTTCAGATGAGCTGGACTGTCGCAGAGAACATTTAAGTAGTTCCTCCATATTACCGTATATAAATTCGATGACAGGTGGAGAAATTCATGAAAATTGCAATCACAGATCCACTTATTATGTCTGAAGTCAAACCCCCAATTATTTAATGTCCCACCAATTTTCCGATCACGAATTCCATAGATCTCCAATTCCTCTAAAACCCATGTCGTAAACAAATTGTGAGAAAAGCCTACCATACCGGGTCCATAGTGTTTGGATTCATCCACTAACCAGTTTTCTTCGTTTGAAAAATGGGATATGTTATTGTGACTAAGGCCGAAAACACAGAATTGATGGGTAATCCTTATCGGCCAGGCCTCAGACGCTGTCAGCTCGTTGTAGTCAAGATGAACCCTCATCAATCCATGTAAGTCTTCACTGAACACTCCTGGCTCAATAGTATGTATTTTGTTATAAGCAAGGTTGATGTATCTCAACCTTTCCAAACCAACGAACACACCCGTCTCAACAGATTTAACTTCCTGGTTGACAAGTACCAGAGCTATCAAATTCTTCAGACAGCTAAGGCTGGGAATTGTTTCGATTTTACCGGTCACCGCACGTATGCTTGCAATGTTGGGATAATCACATATATCCTCAGGGAGACGTGTGATGCACAGGTTTGAGAAGAAGAGTCGGAATGGGGATGTTTTGTTGGTGCCGGGTGGTAGGAGAAGGGTGACGTTGTCAGGCTGACTGCAGTCGTAATTCAAGATGAGGTTCGGCAATCTGTCCTCTCTCATGTTAGTGCAACATATGTCATCTACAGAACACTGAAGGACGTCCTCCACGGTGACACTGGTTCCGACAGACACACTGATCAAGACAATCGCGATGAGGAAAACCAAACGTAGTGACAGAGAAAACAGCATTATTTGTGTCTTCCAAAATTGTCTGTTAAGAGATGGACACTCGTTTGTGTGTCTTTCAAATCTATCTGCTGAAAGACGAACACGAGTTTCTTTCAAACCTGTGTCGTCTGCTCGAAGATACTGACATTGATCAAGGCCAACTCGACTCCAATAATACTGCCGTCTGCTAAAAGTGGCGCTGAATTAACATTCGACTCACCTCGCAAAACAAACACTCTGAATCGCCCACTTCCTGATTTTTATATTTTAACTCCACGAGTCTTTGTCAGAGCATTTCAGTGCGTATGCTCAGCGTCCATTGGCTGAGAGTAGTAATGTAGAAGTTCAAAGGTCAAAAGTCGCACCTCACTGCGCACATAAACAGACGACAATATTTCCACCCGCAGTGAGGCAGTCTACGGTTGGCGTTCAGAAACGTGATCACAGAGTGATCATGTCATTGTGTCACGTGTATTCTTACAACAAACCATTCAATTATAGACTATATGTATAACACCGTCCGGTTTATTGCATTCAGCAACAGTTCTACATACCTGTCAACTCTCATGCATCTCGCGTGAGTCTCACGCATTTATCACCTATGTCACGCCCACACGCAAGGTTGGGAAATTACGGCAAGCATGGGTTGCTGAAGATCTATTCTAACCCGGATCTTCACGGGTCCGTTATATGCTGTGAGATCAATACACAGGAACTCGTTATTGGTCAGTAAATAAAGATATAAACCATATCTACTTACAAATAGGGGGTATACATTATATTTATTGACCAATAACAAATTCCTGTGCATCAATATGACTTGACTCGTGCAGTCATGTGGATGTAAACTGTACGAGGCGCTGTTTAATATTTATTCCTGATTTGTTGATATCAATAATTCATTAATTGATAACACAAAATAGATTTTCGGATATCGATAAAATCTATGTATGTTTGGATACCAATAAATGAAATTGTGATATCTAAAAACTTAACTTGTGACATCAATAATTCACTTCCTGGTTCATGAAAAGAACGAATTCTTCCTTGAGGTCACACCACAGTAAGCTACCAGTCAATGACATCACAAATTCGATTACATATGATATCATAAAGTGAATTCTGGATATTTAACTAAATCGAACTTGTGATATCAATTAACCATTTTGTCATGTCACTAAATGAATTATTCAATTGATAAAATAAGTAATAAATAGTAAAACTACGCGTCATAAAACACTATGCAGCAGCTTTTAGCGCTAAATTTGGTAGTGGGTCGTTTACATATGTTAACATTTACAATGTTAAAAATTTCAAGATAAGTACTACGAAGTTTGTAAAGGTTTTTTATGGCAATTGAAGTGTAAAGGGTTCACTACCATGTAGAGCTGGCTACTTAATATATACTTTTTAATGCTGCAACGTGATTTAACCGATCACTTCGTCAAATATTGATAATTGAAAAAACAAATCTAGTTATCCTTATTCATTCGAGTATGGTCCTGTTTCGCGTACACAAGATCGAACGAGATTCCAAGCGTGGAAGGCTAACTTAGAGTCAAGCAGTGGAGGGTGGTTGTTGTTTGGATGGGTTATGGGGAGGATGTGGATGACTTCTATCATGGGACGTAACTGAGTCGTCAGGAATGACATTAATTTCGTTTTTGTCTGGTTTTCTGTCGAACATGTCAAGGACTAGTCTAGGATTCACAACACGGTTGTTCCAATCGTATTCCGTATACTTCAATGTTTGAAGTTGCCTACAGGGTCGCGCTTTAGAAAGAAAACTAGTGCTTTCAAATACTTTTTTTCTCTGCGGTGATGTGATCATTAAATACATATTATCCTTGACACACTATTAAAGTGTTTGTTGCACACCATCGGTTATCATTGACACAATATGAACGTCTAGGTTGCATCGTGGGTTATCCTTGACACATTATGAAAGTCTAGGTTGCACCGTGGGTTATCTTTGACACATAATAAACGTCTAGGTTGCAGCGTGGGTTATCCTTGACACATTATGAACGTCTAGGTTGCACCGTGGGTTATCCTTGACACATAATAAACGTCTAGGTTGCAGCGTGGGTTATCCTTGACACATTATGAACGTCTAGGTTGCACCGTGGGTTATCCTTGACACATAATAAACGTCAAGGTTGCACCGTGGGTTATCTTTGACACATTATGAACGTCTAGGTTGCACCGTGGGTTATCTTTGACACACTATGAACGTCTAGGTTGCACCGTGGGTTATCTTTGACACACTATGAACGTCTAGGTTGCAGCGTGGGTTATCCTTGACACATTATGAACGTCTAGGTTGCACCGTGGGTTATCCTTGACACATAATAAACGTCTAGGTTGCAGCGTGGGTTATCCTTGACACATTATGAACGTCTAGGTTGCGCCGTGGGTTATCCTAGACACACCATGAGAGTCTATGTTGCACCGTGGGTTATCCTTGACACATAATAAACGTCTAGGTTGCAGCGTGGGTTATCCTTGACACACCATGCGAGTCTATGTTGCACCGTGGGTTATACTTGACACATTATGAACGTCTAGGCTGCACCGTGGGTTATCTTTGACACATTATGAACGTCTAGGCTGCACCGTGGGTTATCTTTGACACAATATGAACGTCTAGGTTGCGCTGTGGGTTATACTTGACACACTTTGAACGTCTAGGCTGCACCTTAAGTTATCCTTGACATACTATGACATACTATGGGTTGCTGAAGACCTATTCTACCCCGTATCTTCACGGGACTGATACCAGTGATCTATCTCTGAACAAATGTTGCACAAGAATACAGTTGCTGTCAGTTGATCTGTCCATGATAATTATCGCATAAAAAGTTTCTTTTAGCCGTGAGCATTTCTGTTATTTGTAACCTCAATCAGTTCTCAAGAGACACGGAAGACAGACACACATTTGTTAAATCAGCATACTGTGGCAGTTTAAGTCCAGAGAGACGTCCTGAGGCAGGTTATGAATTTTTTAATGTTCCTAGCAGATAATTCCCATATGCCGTATAACACGGCCGGGATCCAACCATCGACCTCAGGCTCTGTACTGTGGGACGGATGCCCTCCAGACGCAGATTGAAGCCGTTGACCATCTTGGTAAATGTATAACGATCCACGCAATGACAATGATTAATGTTATGAATACTGTTTTGCCTTAAAATACTTACTACAGTTGTTTATGAAAATAAATGCGACGAACCCCTAAGTTTCCATATTCATAAGAAATCTCTGTCAAAAAAAGAGTCGATTGTTCAATTCCGACTATATCCCGAGCATGTGTTTATGAATCACAGAGCCACGGCCACGCAATGACAATGATTAATGTTATGAATACTGTTTTGACTTTAAATAATAGCAATCATCATAGTCAACGGTCACTGCACAATAGACCGTGGCCGGAGAGTGGAAAGTCGGTGCTTCCATCCCCGGCCGCGTTATACCACTAAAGAAAATACAAAAGATGTGCTTGTTGTTACCCTGCCTGGAGCTTGGCATTCAGGGGATAAAACAAGAACTGGACGACTTAAGCTGCGGCATGGTATCTTAGTGGTAAAGAACTATAAAACAACAACATATCTGTGATGTTCATAAGCGAGGACTCGCTCTAAACGTTATTCGTGAACACTCCAATGTTCGTATCTACTGAAGGAAGCGACCTGTGAAGATCCGGGGTCTTCAGCAACCCATGCTTGCCGTAAAAGGTGACTATGCTTGTCGTAAAAGGCGACTAACGGGATCGGGTGGTCAGGCTCGCTGACTTGGTTGATGTATGTTATCGTATCCCAATTGCGTGGATCGATGCTCATGATGTCAATCACTGGACTGTCTGGTCCAGACTCGATTATTTACAGACCGACGTCATGTAGCTGGAATATTGCTGAATGCGGCGTAAACAACAAATAAAACAACCACCTAAAGGAAGCATATATATCTCTCCAGCAACGTCGAAAGAACATAGTCATAGTAAGCTCTGACTGATAAATAAAACTGAAGGAAAATCCCAGTGAGATCCAGTAACATGGAGATAGTCGTAACAAGGAAGTGTCGGATCCGTCATCCGCGGAGACCTCAACCCTCATTATCCCCAACCCCTGACCCACTTCCCCGTCTGACGTAAACAAACATGCAATGAAACACCCGCAGCGATATTGGCTCTGTTTCATGTGCTTGATGACTGTTGACAATGCATCGTTGTTTGGGGTCACTTTGACCTACACGACTGTTATATACAAAGCCTCAAGTAGGCTTAATCTTGGGATTGCCGAGGTCACAGTGACACTCATTCGCAACTAGAAGGCGAACAACAGGTACAGGTACATAACAGCATTGGGCAGTGGTGTTAATAGGGGTTTAACGTCGCATACAAGATAATTGTACTTGTATAGCGACGTGCATGCAGGCGTATGTGGCTGCTTGTACTAGTCCGGTCTAATGCTGGTTTAATAGTTCTTGACCACTGAGATACCATGCCGTAGTTTAAGTCAACCAATCCTTGTTTTAGCCCCCTTAATGCAAGCTTTCGGCAGGGTAACAACAGGATCCATTTTGAAGTTTTTTGGTATACCGCGCCCGGGGATCGAAGCACCGACTTTCCTCTCTCGGGCCAGACCACGGGGGCGGTCTATTGAACAGTGACCACGTGTGTATGTATGTGTGTGCATGTTTGTGTACATGTGTGTGTGCATTTGTGTGTGTGCCATTGCGTGCGTGCGTGACTATATGCCGGTTACTTAGTGCTAGCCGCCCACTAAAGTGACATGCCACTGGAATATGCCAACACATAAACTGGCAGTTTGAAAGGTTGATATGACTAGCAAACAAGAGAATCTACGGCAAAACCAACAAAACATAATCATTATTATTAATGATTTTATTTATCGACGCGTACAAAAACACTTAACATCGCCTGAAACTGTTTCATAATTCCATAGACAATATATATGCATCAGGCCATGCAGCATGGCCCCCGTCTAGCTACATTGGGGCAGGAATAGCATGTAACAATTGTATAATGAACATGACATATGAAAAGAAATATCTCTTACAAAATTCTAGAAAATCCCAATGCCTCTGACAGGGATATGGGCCTCGGTGCATCCTCACATCAAGTAGACTTGGGCCCCGTGAAGATCCGGGTTAGGATATAGGTCTTCAGCAACCTATGCTTGTCGTAAGTGGCGACTAACTGGATCGAGTAGTCCGGCCTGCTGATGCTTACCATCCTATCCCAATCACTGGATTTTCTGGTTCAGACTCGATTATTTACAGACCGCCGTCATATTGCTGGATTATTGTTGACTGCGGCGTTAAACAAACAAACAAATAATGTAGACTTGGACAAACGAATTGACGTAACACTGCTGCG